TTGTCGCAAATTTTGTGACCTACTCGTAAGCCGTTTAGCTCTATCACTTAAGCGTTCAACGAAGCCTAGTTTAACTGAGTTGTGATGAGATGATTTGAGGTCTGAGTAGTAGTTGGAATATGGACAATAAATTATGTCCATAGCGTTATCCCATTACTGACACTGTTTCACTGTTTGATGATTCCAATAAACGGACTAAAATGAAATTACAATCTACCACAGTGCCTAAGTTTTACTCCTATATTAATGGTCAATACTGTATACTACTGATTAATGCAACTGAAAAATTTCATGTGCAAACTTGTTAGGTGACTTATTGATCACTTGTTACTCAACAATGATGATGTCAACACTTAATGAGTACAGGCGACGAGGGGGGGAACCTAGGGAGATAAGCCTTGAACTTGTCATCTGCTCCTCAAGTATATTATAAGTAAACAATGTACTGACTGATGAGTTTGTTTGATTTGAGGATATAATTCTCGTAAACTTTGACATGGCGTTGTCACAAAATAATTTATTTCAGATTACCACTTAGAAATTCTTTTAGACTTTTGGTTTACCACCAAAAAAAGAGAAACCAGTGGCTGGTGACTAGGTGACCATATGGCTCAGAACCGAAGTCAGTGGCGCAGATGTATACACACTTTATCCTCATCTTGACAGTATGCCGAATCTCACCATTTTCTCATTCTTTCTTTCTCTCTTTTAGTGCTTTATATTTCTTTTGATGGAACTTTCTTTTCTCCGTCTTTCGCTTCACTGCCTTTTTACTTGATGTAGTGATATGAGGTGTGGTAACTTGGAGCGTTACGCAGTATAATTCCTGGTCTTATGTTGATTTGGATGGATAATGGACTCAGTGCATGTTATTGCGGATTTCATTGCATTGATTTTAAAGAGATTTGAATATCCTCATTGAGTTGTAAAAGAAGAAAGACTTCCGCGAACAAATTTACTTTCGGTGACATCATCTTCAGAAGTCTGTACAACTTCATTGGTAACGAAACCTGAGTATGATGGGGTCGATTTCTGACGATGTCATACGTGCACGATACTGAGGTGTCCCGTAGCGTAGCAGGATAAAACAGCCGTCTGGTGCTCCCATATTTACAAGGGTTCACCACCTAGTGTAAGTTTTTGATGAATACTAACTTGAAATCATGAATTAGTTTGTTTATTCAAGGGTAAAAGCCGAATTATGTTCATCCTTGCATTTAGAACGAAGCATTAATCTTCTAGGTTAGGATAGACCAGTTGATTATTTCACTCATGATTTTGATACTTATGAACCTACTGCCACACTTGAGTGGTGTCTGTTGGAAAAGCTCAACCGAGTAATTATCGGGTCAAGAAAGTGTTAATCAAATTAACGGAATACATATTCTTCGACAGCGAAATAAAACTTCGCCTAGACAAAACATCACACCATAGGTATCATAAGGTTTTGAGTAGTTAATCAAGGATGATTTTCAAAGTTCAATTTAGTATTATAGGAGAATATTTTGCTACCAAAGAAAAAAGGTTTGATATTAGTCGTTGGAAATTGGCTGAGATTGTATCATAACGGTGCTACTGTTATAGTTAAATATTTTGGTATTATTCGTACTCTCTTTACTCACTTTGTCTTTATGTACTATTGTGAAACTCGGAAACCTTGTGCACTTTCATGTAGTAAGAAATGAACCATATCTGTTGTTTAAGAGTTGATGCTACTGCTAATTGACTGCTCGAATTTCGGCAAATGGAGAGATGTTCGAACCCATGACCCCACTGCCTAGACGACCTGTCGTTGTACTCCAAGGTTATGTTGTCAACAGAAGCAATATCTAAAATTGAAAGTAATATAAAGACATTCATTCATCTCCTCTCTTTTTTAATTTTTATCAAATGGATAAATAAAATTCTTCCATATCTTTTTTTTTCTCTTCAATTTTCATACAAGGGGTCAAATGGCTTATCAAGTAAGTGCTTACCCATCAATACCTAAATTATTTGAAATAGACACTTATTTTTGCATATAGTTGTTTGTGTATAGTGTACTGTATGAATGTTTTTAATAACAAATTTGTTGAAGTGATCTAGTGAAATAATAAGAAATACGCGAATGCTACCAACGCAATGAGACACTTGGTCTGGATACGAATGACGACTGTTCTCCCTCAAACTTAATACATCACCGAGTCATGAATATATCAGAATATAGATACCAGCCTGTGACTGTAATTATTATTTGTCACTTGGGTTCCTAGTGGAAATTTGGGCTTCACTAACACGTCTCCATTCCATTATGTTCACTGTAATCTTTTGAACGTGGCTCCACGACTGCCCACAAGCTCTCATTTCTTCCTCACACCATGTCATCCTCACCTCGGACGTCCAACTCGTCGTTTCCCATCTGGGTTCCACTCGAGCAACTGGCCTCGCGTGTGATGTCCCCAATCGGCCTTTTCAGTGCATGCCCAATTCAATCCATCTCCACTTTCTTCTGCATATTTGTTGGGTGAAAGCTTCTTGGTTGGTTTGTTGTCAGCCAGCCAGAGTTCCTTGTTGCTTATTCTTATTATTCTGGCCATCTGATCTTCAGTGACGAGCCAGCATAGGCAGTTGTTGATGAATGTCTGTAGTTTGTTGGAAATCCCTTTCGTAACCCGCCAAGTCTCTGAACCATATAGAAGCACTGACTTGACTGAATTAGTGTTGAAAATCCGGATGTTGTTCACGCTTTATGCTGACTCCAGTAGATCTCCATACTGATTTCAGATTAACGAAAACCTGTCTCGCTTTTCCGATCCTGGCTTTGACATCGTCATCTGTGCCTGTGCCGCCTGTATTTGAAACGATGCTGCCTAGATAGGTGAAAGAGGCTACTTCCTTTAAGTTTCTGCCGTTGATTGTGATTGGAGCTTGTTGCTGTTGGTTGGGTATCATCATCACCTCTGTCTTCTCTACGTTCACTTGAAGTCTTGTCTTCGTTGCCCTGCCTCTTTTGTCAACTTGTTGGATTTTGCCTGTAGATCTTCGAGTTTGTGCCACAAGTCATCAGGGACATCCAAATATTCTAGGATTTTTTCCCCTGTCCAGCGTATCTCCCTCTTCTCTCTCCTCACTGTTTGTTGCATAATCCAGTCCACCGCAATCAGGAATATCATGGGTGATAGTAGATAGCCTTGTCTTACTCCTGTCTTCACTTCAAAGGAGCACTTTATTTAACCAAAAAAACAGTATTTATGCACAGTTTGCATGAGCGTATAAAACTACTTGGTTGAAAGTTAAATAGCTATCCTTGATTGGTCAAGTGTAGGATAAAATTGTCCAATGTGGTTTTCCTGACCATACAGCGACATGAATATAAATAAGAATTTCTACCATAGCAGGTGATGACTTAAAATGTTGATTTATATTTAGGCCGCTTTCTATCATTTATGCGACTCAAACTTTTGAGTAAAAAAATTGAAACGTGACATCAATTATGTTATGTTATTAGGCATATTAGGAGTTGTAGGCTGCATAATGCTTTTCTGCTATCGTCATTGTATAATGTAAATCTTAAAACTACATATAAATCTTGTTTGGACTAGATGAACAAGCAAAACCCTTTGACTCACAACGATCACCTATGAAATAATCTTACACTTATTGCATAGGACTAATACAGACAGACAAAATCAAAGTAAATCCCCACACACAACTACATCGGTTCAAGTTGCTACAATTCATAGTAGTGAACAAAGAACAAGTGGATAGAATATGATTCGTGTGAAAGAATTCAAAGGTGTACGAGAGGAGAGGGAATCTAAAAATTAAGGTTAGTCAAAACATTCTAGCTAGTAATGACATTAAAGAGCGAAATACATCTGCACCATTGTGACCATGAGTTCTCAAACACTGATTCCTATCATCTCGGATAACCCACTTAGGTGATCGTTTCCTCCGCACACGACTTAGATCGACAGTCAGAGAGACTTTATGCACTAGTGCTGTCTTGGTGGGTGTGATCACCCTAAACCCTCTTCAAGCATAATTCAACATCTCACATCGAGGTAGGTAGTGTCTCGGTATGCACCGCACATACATAAAACACCCATTAACTATGAAAATCGACCATCTAGGTAATGAGTCATAGTTACATCATGATTTACTGATCATATCCACATTATACTCTCAAATCACTCAACCTGACGACTATAGAGGATACTTTGGTTACTATTGTTAATTTGAGGATCTATTACCCAGTAACTTATTTATTATAGTATTCTTTTTTCTCTCTCGTCTCATTTAAATTGGGTTAATCATATCAAATGATTCAGTTTTCTATTCAGTTCCATTGTATGATGAGCATGCGTGTACACTTTGTAATTAATCATGCGATTGTATAATCAGCTCTAAATTATACTTTAGAGCTTTCAATGTTCGGACCGTGCGACAAATCGGCCAACAAACTTTATTAATCAAAACTTGGGCAATGGACGTGTGGTATTTGTGAGACACGCAACAATACCCCAAGTGGAGGTTAATATGGTGAATCCACGAAATTCACCCTTCGAGTTTCAGGGGATTTGATAGGTAGTTCTCGTGGTCTTGCAAGTTTAGGTATACCATTGAGCATTAATGCAAGAAGTTGCCCACTCAACTAGATCCCAGTTGACTGTTGCCTACGCGCCATTTGATTAGACGGCACAATAAGGATAAAGCTCGCTGTTGTCATTTTGCAATTTATGCTTGTGTGGCCACTGACTGCAGTTCGGATGAACTGAATGATGAATTCTACTGAAAACCTTTTTGGCCTCCTACTAAAAGCCAAGCTCTCAGGCGTGGTAGTTGTTACTGATGATTTCAATGCATAAGTAGATAGGTTAAGTTATACAGAAAGACACTTCGATCACACTTTCGGTTATTTGCCCTATAAACCGACCAAATCGTTTAGTCTTTTCATGTATACATACTGTTTCACTCATTCCACTAGTTAAATTCATTCGCTTATACTTCACAGTCTGTTGTGTGAAGTATATGTATACATGCGTTTTCTTTTGCCAACTTGCTAATGTTATATAACATAATATAACCTATTTCAATTGTGTTATTCAGAAGCCAAAAGAGAGTAGAAAATTAAGACTGTTATTCTCTTTCTACTCATGGTTACGATTTCCAAGGTAGTAATCATTACAGACTGATGTCAGTTAGAGGACTAGTGAAAACCTGGAAGCATTTGACAGCCTGTTTTATCCTAGTATGGAACTCCTCGGTGGTTGATATATTCGTTGTGAAACTTCAAGGTTTTGATTTCGATCCCTAGCCGAGGGGGGGAATGCATATTCCTGAGGAGTTCCCGTAATGAATACTACCTTAAAAAGAAAATTTTTATGAAACCACCATAAGTTACTATCTCTGTTTTGATTTTTTTTCTCCTTCTTCTAATCCACTTCTTTAATTCAATTAATTTCAGTTCATCTAATTTTGGTTTCTTTTGAATATATCTATTTTTTAGAGAAATTATTTTTACACACAGATATAATTTATCATCCAGAATCTGATCCACTTGAACATTTTCCAACCGATCAGATAAATCGATTGAATCCAAGGATACTTGTTGAAATATCAAGATTACAAGCGTTAGATATTAAAGTTGAAGGGAATTCTCATCCACCGAGTATTAATGATATGGAAAATTATGCTACGTGCTTAGATGCTGGTGAATGGAATACAAGTTGTCATTTAAAATTGATTTATACGGATAAGGTAATTTATAGACTTTTATTTATCTTACTTTACAATGTATAAATGTCTATCCTGGAACAATACGCTCAAAACAGAATAACTGAACTGAAAATATGGACCATTCGATTCTAATCCAGTAGCTCAAAGGTAACCTGTTGACCATGTAACCTGAACGTCCTCAGTTCGACTCCTGGCGAGAGAGGGACATGGGTTTACACTTCTGAAGAGCCCCATACCAGGACAAAACAACTGGATTTCCAGTGCTCCCTGCTTCCCAATGTTCCTTCAAATGATGTCAGTCTATGACGAATACCAACTTCCAAACTAACATTTTTATTTGTCAAATTCTCACATCAACCGCCTGATAACTTGTAAAATTTAAATACGTTATTACCATGAAGTATTCGATTTAAAGTAGCTTTCACCAGTTACTATCAAGATTGACATAGGACCAAGAATCACTGAATAACAGTCCAACTTGCCACATCTCGTATCAATACATCAAGTAACAACGCAATGAAATGCAAGATGAAGAAGGAAAGAAAAATCGACCAAACGAAGTAGAAAGCAGTAAAAGAGTGGAAGGATGAATAAGAGGATGATGAGATTATGTATAGCGGTTGAGATGAGGATAATATGTGTATGCATATGCGCCACTAACATTGGTTCTGAGCCATATCATCACCTACAGTCTCCAACAACCACTGGTTTCTCTTCTCCCGCCAACCCCAACCCAACCAGCTAAATCTGCATCGCCTCCCCACATCACTCAAACCAACAGTCAATGACTTCATGCATTGATGGCATGTTTTAGTCTGGACACTCCGAGCCCTTTTCCAGCCTGAACCCACTACTACTTACACCAACATTGCGTGACGAGGCAGACGGTCTCAGTCATCTCAGTTGATCACGTTTCATAACCACATCAAGTGTCTTACCTCTCCTGCCTAAAACTCAACACCTGACTTCTGTGTTACTCACATGGTGACACCACAACACACGGACTATGCTACGAAGGCAGCGGTGTTTGCACATCAGAAGCCTTCTCATATCTTCTATCTTTGATAGCCATGTATTACAGTCATACAGTAGAACAAAGTGAACTGCAGCACAGTATACTCGAACCTTAATATCCGATTGTTTATTTCACTCAACATGCTTTAACCACTTTGTTTCTGAATTATTTATGAAGTTATCTATTCACTGAAATGAAGTACATAGTTGATATATCTTACAAATTCTACATCATTCTTACCAGTGGGATATTCGACTGCGTACTGCAGGATGACGGTACTGCACAACAGTGCAGTACGCTTTGTCTTACTTCGTGACTGTAAATGAATTTTCTGACTGTTGATCTTAACTATGAAGTCAAGGTCTGGATGACGACCTAAATCAATGGTCTATATGTCTAAGAATCGATGTCAGTGGCTGTTGTAACGCCTCAGTTTTGCATAAAACATTTTTATTGATCTGAGCATTTCCAACTTGTCATTTTCACACCATTTTGACAGCATGACTAATGGTTTATTTTCTGTCCGCATTCTAATGTAATTCGCTGATTGGTTGATCCTTACTCTGACTATGTCAATGTCTCATATTGCGGACAACGTCATATTTTTCTTGTGCGTACATAGTCACGTGTTTCTGAACTGACTGATTGATATACATGCAAGTATAAACTCTCCCATCGTCATCGACCTTCGGTCTTTTTCCCTAATTCGTCCCGGGTTGCAATCGGTTAGCTGTCATTCAAGCGTGCGTTCGTAATATATAACAGTGACGCAGGTAGATCCACACATCACCTTCACTCTGATGATCATACACTGTCTCCTAATTGATGTTCTACCTATATTTTGATCTAGGCTTTTCTGTAACTCTTGATCTCACTGTTTCTACTCATTTCTCTTTTTGTTTTCATCATCCTGCCTTGTATCTTGATGTACTGATATAAAGTTAAGCAACTGGATTCGTTACTTAGTTATTGTCATCTTTCTCTTTGATATTGACTGACTGACTGACTAGTCTTGAGATAGGATTCCACATTCTGCAAGCATAATTTACTTGCAGTATGTTATGATCATCGGTGAATGTCATCAGAGAGCAAGCATGCTCTTAACCTAGTTAACTCCATATGTCTTGATTTACTAACATTTATTTCTAAATCAAATGTACATGAAATGTCTTGTCATGTCTTTTACTTCTCAATGGATACTCAGATGACATAGTCCTATTACGTGAAGATGCTGACAAGAATGCCGCATTTTCTAGACACTCTGACTGGCAATTTGAGAATATTTGAGATACATTTCCCACCACGCAAATGCAAACTGTTCCTCCAGGACTAGTCTTCAATAGTGCCCCGATTAACATTAGAGAGTGAAGTGGTTAAACGTGTTGAACACTTTACTTGCCTGAAGAGTCGGATCAGCCCTGATGTGTTGGCCAATGGCAGTGGCCAATGAGATCTCTGTACGGATACAGAAGTCTCGGTTAGCTTTTGACAACTTACGCCATTGATGGCGCAGCCACAATATCCGATTGTTCATTAAGAGTCGAGTGCACTGTGCTGCAGTTCACTTTGTTCTACTGTATGACTGTAATACATGGCTATCAAAGATAGAAGATATGAGAAGGCTTCTGATGTGCAAACACCGCTGCCTTCGTAGCATAGTCCGTGTGTTGTGGTGTCACCATGTGAGTAACACAGAAGTCAGGTGTTGAGTTTTAGGCAGGAGAGGTAAGACACTTGATGTGGTTATGAAACGTGATCAACTGAGATGACTGAGACCGTCTGCCTCGTCACGCAATGTTGGTGTAAGTAGTAGTGGGTTCAGGCTGGAAAAGGGCTCGGAGTGTCCAGACTAAAACATGCCATCAATGCATGAAGTCATTGACTGTTGGTTTGAGTGATGTGGGGAGGCGATGCAGATTTAGCTGGTTGGGTTGGGGTTGGCGGGAGAAGAGAAACCAGTGGTTGTTGGAGACTGTAGGTGATGATATGGCTCAGAACCAATGTTAGTGGCGCATATGCATACACATATTATCCTCATCTCAACCGCTATACATAATCTCATCATCCTCTTATTCATCCTTCCACTCTTTTACTGCTTTCTACTTCGTTTGGTCGATTTTTCTTTCCTTCTTCATCTTGCATTTCATTGCGTTGTTACTTGATGTATTGATACGAGATGTGGCAAGTTGGACTGTTATTCAGTGATTCTTGGTCCTTTGTTGCTCTCATCGAGGATTTGTCCGAAGGCTGTTGATGCTGCTTGGATGCTGGAACCTCGCTATGCAGAACGTTACTCCAACCTTTGACCTATTAATAGTTAGTTGTCTCCGTTAATCAATGAGCTACAGCTCCTTTCATTTCATAATAACTGCATAAATGAATACCTATACTCTACATGTATTTTGTATTCCGACAAATCTGAGTGTATTTGAAGGAAGAAGTATATTTTGACCCTGTGGTGCTTTAAAAGGATTTCTTCTTTTCCTCCCTGTTCGTCTGATTTTACAATTTTTTTCTTTCCTTGCTTAACATGTAGAAATCTTATTTACCCTGCCAATTATCAGATCTCTATATACGACTATCGCCTGATTACATACATGCTGGTCAGTTAAATTGGTATTACTTACCAAAATTGAAGTATTTATCACTTCTGAGTGATTCCATAAAAGATACTAACAAGTTGAAAAATACTGAAAGATACTTAGATATTTATTATGATGAGTTGAATAATCAATTTGAACGATTAAGAAAATTAATTGATCATCGAAGAAGTTTAATTAGCATTGGTAAAATGTGGGTAAGTAAGCAATGTGTTGCTTATGTTGTGTCTGTGTTTTTAATTCTTCTCGTTTGATGTAGACAGAATTGTCAGGGCTGTTGACACTTCCCGGCTTTCTACACCGTGGAAAACTGTTTCTTCTTAAGGTACCTGAAAGAGATTTATTTGATCACAGAGGCCATCACACATCTGTTTGAGGCCTATCACACAGCCTTTTGTGTGTAATTCCTTTGAACTGTTGTTGTTTTGGGTCCGGATGGTCGAAAAGAAACAACTAATGAACCAGTACTACCGGCCTGGTAGACCATGGGGTATGGTGGGCTGATCATTTTTAACCCCCCTCCTCCCACTGAGAAGGCAGCATCAGCGTGTTACTACTGTCCATCGAAGGGAAACATCCTACTGCTGTCACATCCTATCCAGCTAGCAGCAGTACGACTTCGCCCTCAAACCACCATCATAGCGGTAGTTGCTTTTCGTCTAACCACTATCCAACAGACCTTCCTGATATGGTAAGACCTCAAGAGAACAAGCGGTCTACCAGCATAGCTCGTTGGTCATTGTAACATGCAAGCCCGACCACCACGTCAGGGTAGCAGCTATCGGTCGGGGTTTGATTTAGAGGTTCGTGGGGATTTATATATTGATTTAAGGTTCGTATTCATCGTGAACGGATATCAGTTGGAGAAACATTGGAAATCTGGGGGCACTTGACACTTTTTTTGTTCTTGTATGGGTCTCTTCAGGATTGCACACCCGCGACCGTGCCAGAGATCGAACCCAGAACATTCAGGTTCCGCGGCAGGTATATTACCATTGAGCCACTTATTTGGAACCCAGTGGTCAACATTTCCTACTTCTGTCAGTTCACGATATAGCGTGACCTCCATCCAATGCCGTCGTTGAGTAACCGTCCTCATGTTCGACTTGGTTGGCCTCACCGGTCACGACTTCGTATTGGGACTTCGAGAATTACCTCTCGATGTTAGTCACTAATAAACACTAGATTAATTCAATCTCGAGGTTTGTGTGGGATTCACTTACTCATGTTTGGCTGATGCTTACCCGATCTGTTTCTGTGCATAATACAGTTCAGTGTTCCTGGACAGACTAATATTTTAAATAAACCAAGAGCCAAATGTATTTTATAGGGGGTTAAGTGACTTCCTGGTTGTCTTAACCTTGTTGTGCTAAGCTAAGGGGTGTTGGTATCAATGACCCAACACGATGCGCTGAAATTCATGTAACCTTGAAGATATCATCAGAACATTTTATGAGTATGAGCTGTTTGGCTAGTTTTAATAAAATCTACTCAGTCATTGATGCCTGTGATCAGTATCACTGCTATCACAAAGATTCACCTCTGTACTATTGATTAGGTGATGTTCTCGAGTACGAATCTAGTTGACATCATAATTTTGTAGAACTGTAAGATGTCTCAATACAATATATTATCAGAAGGGATCTCAACAAAGTAAACATTTGTCGATCAGCAGTTGATAGAGCATCAAGCTGGAAACCCGATGGTCGCTTGTTCAAATCCTGCCGCAATTGAAATTTTCATTTCACCTTTAATTATCATCACTCAGTACATATGTTTTTGTAATAGTTTTTTTTGGCTATTCATTCTCCTCACTTTCCCGTTTTTATAGATTGGTATAATCTGTGCATCAATGGCTCGATTGTATAACTTTGATCATAACTTATTGACTATTGCATCTATCAAGTCAACACAAGAAACCAGTCAATTAGCCTTCTAATGTCTCATTCGTGTTATGTACTCCCTCGCACCCCTATCTTCCGCCTTCATAGGGAGAGAGAGAGAGGGAGGATGTTGAAAGAAAACAGTTGGTTGATGAGTACTATAGAGTCTCCACTGGAATGAAACTCAATAATAAATCTGTGTTAATTACTGAATCAACGATTTTCTTTTTCTTTTGTGCACATCTAACACTTTATCGCACTATGCCATACTTATTGTGTTAGTTTCACGCTATTGATTTAATCAATATATGATAATCAACACTGCATATCACCGCAATTTTTTATATATGTAAAATAAATCTCTTTTAAAGACTCTAAAAAAGCTTTCTTCTTTTGATCATCATCAGAATATGAACAGGCTTATTATCCATGTATGTCTAGTCCTGAGCTCGCTTATTGTATTCTGCCTATCATTTTGTTATGAGGCCACTAAGTTAGGAGGCTCTAAGGAAAATGCTAGTTAATTTTAATCATTTCGAAGGACACGTGAGAGAAACGCAAACTCCAAAGAACTAGGCAGGCTTGGATGAGGGTGTATCGATCATATTTTCACCATCCGACGGGTCTTGGAACACGGGCATATCTACCGGTTACCAATACTTGGCATATTTCTTGACGTAAAGGTGGGATTTGACTCTGTTGACCGTGAGATGTTGTGACAGTGTCTGACTGTAAAAGGAGTACCGAACAAGTATATAATGCTAATCAAAGCTGTCTACTTAAACTCATACAGTTGTGCAATGGTTTATGGAGAGATCGTCATAACTGACAACAACTAGTAGTGTCCGACTGGGATGCCCTCTGTCACCATTCCTGTTTGATCTTGTTATAGATGTACAAATGGACATAGTCTTAGGTACGTCGGATTTTACAGGGATTGACCTACCGCCTGGAGGTCGTCTGGTTGACTTTGAGTATGCAGATGATATTGTCCTGTTAGATGAAGACGCTTACAAAATACAGGGTCTTGTGCACGTATTGAGCAGAAATCTGAGTATGTTTGGGATGCGTTTCACTGGCACCTGTCAAATGTAAGATGACGCTCCAGAACTGGTCTGGAACTACGCCCGGTTTAACGATAGGGAGTAAGGTGGTAGAATGCGTCGACCACTTCACGTACTTGGGGAGCTGCATCAACCGGAATGCACTGGTTGCTGACGAAATATCATCCGGAATTCAGAAGGCTCGTTTGGCATTTGCCAGCTTGCATCATCTGTGGCACCTACAGGTGACGTATCTGATTACTTATAAAGAGGGGGTATGCTGTGCTGCAGTCCATTCTGTCCTGTTATACGACTGTGAGACATGACCATTGACAGTAGAAGACATGAAGTAGTTACAGGGTTTTAATCATAGGTATCTTCGCAGTACTGCTCGCGCATGATACAACTACTGTGTAAGCGTTGTTAAGGTTAGGCGAAGATTACTAGGTAACATAGGCAAGTCGATTGGTTAGGTTGGGAAGCTTTATCGCATGAGATGGCTTGGGCATGTGTGTTGCACATGTCGGCCCACTGCCTATCTTGAAATGCAATTCTCGAATAACTTGGATTCGGTTAGATGAAGGCCCAGGGTGGTAAGATTAAAATGTGAAGTCTCCAAATCTTGGTCTGAGCCATGTGGATACATGTAGGCTATCTGCGTGGCTGGGGTCCCTAAGACGATAGGAATCAGTGGCTGAGGATTGACCCTTGGTGACATGGCTGAAAATCGGTCACAGTGTCTTCTGAAACTCAAATATCTGCGGTCATCTTTATCTTCAAATTGATAATTTTCTCATACACCGTTGTCTAGTTTGATGTCACTTTTTTTACCCACCTGTTCTTTATATACTACTGTTAAGTGTGGGGACTTGAACCTATGCCTTTGTGTACGACATTGTACATTGGTTTGTTTGTCTCTGTCGGTGGAGATCCAAAATATCCTTGACTGAGATATCAACTTTACGCCTAACCTCAACATCGCTTATAATGTAGTTTCACCACACAGGGGGAACACCATGATGAAATCTATGGTTAGAAACGTGTGACCCCTTCATAACTTACACTATCAACGGATATCTCACAGTTTTACAATAGGACAGCAGGTTATTGTCCACTACGCTCATCCTTCGATATATAGGCGTGTACCACGTTGATGATGCAGTTGGTGTAAGTTGGTAAATCCCAAACATACCTTTTGTATACAAGCTGAGATTTCGTCATTAGTCCTAATACAATTTAATAAGTAAGTGAAATGGTCAACCATTTCGCTGCTTATCTTTAAATCAGGAGTTCATACAGATTGGTTGTTAAGCATCATTTTACACTTGGTAGGTGTGAAATGCATGCTGAATATTCTCAAATTTCTTTCCAATACTTTCAGAAAACCGCGTTTCATCAATGTTCTTATCCTGTCTGTGCGCTCTCAACCAGTCAGGTCCTTTCCTGGAAGCAAGTCAGTTCCTGAGAAGTCTGAAGTACAGATATATCCATCAACACATACATTACAAAGTTAGATAGGAATGGTGAAAGTGTATGCTACTGATTGACAACTCCTCATTAGCCTTTACACTACTGCTTGAGTTTGAGTAGAGAACGTTGTTTGGCATAATGTACTTGTCCTGTGCTTTTTTCATAGTCAAACACTACTCGGTTGAATATTGCTTTAAAGTTAAGAAAGGAGACCAGTATTGTATGTCTGTATTTCGAAACTTATGAAACCATTAAAGTCTGATGGGTAGACACTACCAGATCTGAAGTCACCTGATTTTTTCAAGCTCCTGTTAGATGTGTTATAACTATGAACTCTAGGATCTTAGATACTATTTCAGTCGGACGGATTCTCCTGTGGTAATCACAGGAAGACTTCTCTCCTTTTCTATAAACTGGAATTATCATCGGTTTAGGGTGGTCTAACGAAACTACTTCTCAATACTGTACACTATCTCTTACCTGAGTTACCTCACTCGTTAATTTTTCACTTTCATCCCTAAAATATCTGGCAATGGGCTATCAGATCCTACTAATTTACATTCTTTCAAATTCAAAGCACTATTTAATCTGGATGAGGGTTGAAAGATTGGCATCCATAACTCACTCAGGTTTCGGCGACTGAATCGTGACTGTAGGTTAGTTGAAATGTTGTTCAAAGAAATATGAGGGGAAAGCTAGGACACCAATTCTTTTGAAAGATCATCTGTAGCATTCTGATCTATGCGGATCGACTATCGGTCTAATGTTGGTAGATACCGTTTTGAGGCAATATTTGTCTTTATTGTTTTCAAGTAGTACTAGGGAGAGTCAAATGATCTTTGAAATAAAACTGTGAGAGATTATCATTATCGGCTTGGCTGAATGGAAACCCGCAGAAGCTTCCCTGATTGGTACAGTTTTCCTACTTGAGTATTTCGTTTATGCATCAAAATTGACTGTTTTAGGTAAAACTCATCCTCTGTTTTGTCTGAAGTGGTTATCATTGAATGCATAGGTGGGGACTACAAATAGACATCGATGGGTGTCAAGATTCTTTCCAGTCCTTACTTCCGTTTAAATGAGCAGTGCATATGTGGCTTTTAACTGTTATCCAGTTGACAAATCCACTCCCCCCTCTACAATGTTATAACTACACCGGCACGTGACGTGTGTTGTGTTCCAGAGTTAATCCAGTTGCCAATTTGTTATCACTGTTTCATATTGTGCTGCCTATTCCATCTTAACACTGACCTTGAATGTGACTGATCTCGAACATACTTTCCAAGTCCCTGACACTCAATTTAGCCACACGATAACTTATGCAATTCGGCCCTCTCAACAAAACACAAAGTCTGGTGCTTAATACGCCTATACTTCAGCTGGTCTGAATCATTTGTATGTATGTATAAAGAGGAAACAACCAATTTCAAGCAAACAGAATATTGGATAATGCACAATAATGGACAGATTTCACGCAACATAGGGTTGTTTCCAAAATATACGTCAGGATATTACTGAAGTTGGGATGGTATGACGTAGGTTCTAATCGTACGTGAACGAGATACTTGGACTGGATACGGGTGATACGACTGTTCTCCCCCGCACCCTATACTTCACTGAGCCGCGAAAATCAAAAGACGGGCCTGTGACTGCAGAACAACAACAACGACGATTTTATCAGACAAATACATGGTATATATATATTTACAGAACTCTCAGAAAATGAACCAATCTGATCCGTCATATGACATCAAACTTGTCCAATCAGGTAATCATGCCATTGCATGCAAAAGTCATGATCTGAAAACAGTTTCTCTATTTAGTATAGGTGTTTTTATATCATACCGTCGTTGACTGGGCCTAATTGATCGGTTTCTTTTGGCATATGGGCTCTTGTGCAGATGCCTTGATATTACCTGTACTCTAATGATGGATAGTGGCTAGCAGTGGAATCTAGGATGCGCGTTTCGTCCTATTTGGGAACAACATCACTCACTGGGAAGCAGGTACATACAGCTGACGAGTCCCAAGCAGGACGAAATGCGCATCCTGCATTCCACTGCTAGACACTATCCATCATTAATTTCTCTACTGTCTGCCTTTTCGTGGTTACGTATCAGTATCACGTCATACATGCATAGATGAAGAGTCGATCGAACTCTCTTGAAACAAGCTAAACAACAGCGTTAATGTCGCCAATTAAGTCATAAGTACGATGACTTTTAAGATAAATAAAATAATACTACCAATGACACTGATCTATGGTTCACATTTTTTACTTTTCACCTGATATAACAATACGAAACTGTAGTGCACACTACACTGTGCTTTAATGTTGGACGCTGGAACTCCTGCCTACTGACTCTAAACATCTAACTTACGTCTCTGAATTATCACACAAAATGTTCATAAGTAATAGGTAACTGAGAGAGGTCAGGAAAATGAAATCTGTAGAATAAAATGATGACACCATCACTTTTTTTCACGAATACTCTTCACCTGTATACAGTTTAAAAGTATAGTGGTCATTTACATATATTTCA